TCGCGCTGGTCCTGGGGCGGCTGCTGCAGGTGCGGGCTGCTCCAGGGGCGGCTGCTGCAGGTGCGGGCTGCTCCAGGGGCGGCTGCTGCAGGTGCGGGCTGCTCCAGGGGCGGCTGCTGCAGGTGCGGGCTGCTCCAGGGGCGGCTGCTGCAGTGGCGGGCGGCTCCAGGGGCTGCTGCTGCAGTGGCGGGCGGCTCCAGGGGCTGCTGCTGCAGTGGCGGGCGGCTCCAGGGGCGGCCGCCGCAGTTGAAAGGCAGAAGGGGGGGGGGGGGAAACGCACGGCCCCCAGGGCGCCCCGAGGGGCGACGAGAAGGGAGCCGCGCGGCCCCCCCCCGGGGCGCCGCGACGGGCACCAGGGAGGGCGCCGCGACGAGCCCCCAGAGCCGCCTCGATGGGCGACGGGGAGGGTGCCGCGCGGGCCCCCCGAAGTCGCCTCGACGGGCGACGGGGAGGGCGCCGCGCGGGCCCCCCGAAGTCGCCTCGACGGGCGACGGGGAGGGCCGCGCACGGCCCCCGAAGTCGCCTCGACGGGCGACGGGAGGGGACCGCGCGCGGCCCCCGTGGTCGCCACGACGGGCGACTGGTGGGGAGGCCGCGCGGGCCCCCAAGGTCGCCTCGACGGGCGACGGGAGGGGAGGCCGCGCGGGTCCCCGAGGTCGCCTCGACGGGCGACGGGAGGGGAGGCCGCGCGGGTCCCCGAGAGCGCCTCGACGGGCGCTTCGACGGGAGGGGACCGCGGAGGCCCCCCCAAGGGCACCACGACGGGCGCCACGGAAGGGAAAACCGCCAGGCGCCCCGAGCGCGCGGCGGGGAGAAATTAGGGTTTCGCCGCCGCGCACCACGGGGCGCGCGGCGGACAGTACGGCAGCGGAAGCGGGTGGTGGGCCCATACACAGGAAGGCGGCAGACATGCCGCCCTCTGATACCATGTCAGAAGTAGTAGGAGTACGGCCTAGGCTTAGTAGCCTAGGCCACAGTAGGACTAGTAATGAGGAGCCAAGTACGAGCTAGGAATGTGTGTAGGAACAGAATTGAGAAGGAATGATTGAACTAGCAAGCAGCAGGATACAAATAGCAAACCCTAAGGGGCTGTACTCACTATAGAGTACCCCACTGCAGGCTACACAAACAACATATTCTGACAGTAAGTCAATCTTCGAGAAATAGCGAGCGCCGCGAAGTTGGTCGAGGAGGTCGTCGGTACGTGGGATTGGGTAGCGAGACTTGATGGTGACCCGGTTCAGCGCGCGATAGTCGATGCACATGCGAAGCCCGCCGTCTTTCTTCGGAGTGAACAGGATCGGTGCTGCGAAGGGAGATGTGCTGGCCCGAATGAACCCTTTCTCCAACAGTGCATCAATTTGACTACGCAGCTCCTCGAGTTCCGGCTGGGTCAACCGCCACTGTGTCCGAACAGTCGGCTGCGCGCCAGGTTCCAGCTGGATTTTGTGGTCCTCAGGTCTCTCGGGTGGCAGTCCAGGTGGCAGATCGTCGGGGAAAATGTCGGGGTACCTCCGAATCAGCTCCGCTAAATCCGGTGGTACAGCTGCACACAGCTTCTCGATGTCCTTTTCGTCGGTGTCAACCGCCAACTCGCGTAAGCAAACAGCGAACAGCTGCGCGCCCCTGTTGAAGTGGCGAGCTATAGTGACAGCTTTGACGCACGGGGCTTGGATGTAGTCAGGTGTCCATGCAGGCAACTTAATTAGCCCCTCGTGCTTGTTGATGCTGCACGATCCCGTTGTCTAGTCGATGACGGGGTTGTGCCGTCGCAGCCAATCACGTCCCAGCAGTACGTCGCAGCCGTCCAGTGTTGTCGCGAGGAACTTCATGCTGAAGCCGAAATCGTCGCCGCATTCGATCCTGACCGTCCGTGTTTCTTCCGTTATCGCCAGAGGCGTCCCATCCACGAAGCGGGCGTCAATTTCGGGCAGACACCTGTCAAGTTGCAGCTTGCATTTTTTTGCGCTCGCCAAGTTGAAGAGGCTATGGCTGGCCCCTCCATCGACGAACATTTTCAAGTTATTTTTTAACACCTTGCCAGCGACCAGCACAGGGTGATCCACATGTGTATCCCCGTTATTCGGCCGAGTGCGATCGATTGCATGAATCGGAACCACTACTCGGTGGGGATGGTGGGGTTCGGGCGACGGAGCACAGTCAGTAAAGGGCCCGTTAATTACTGACTCTTCCCATTTCCCTGCTCCTTCCTGTCGTTCCCCGTCAGCGGCGTTTTCTCGTGGCAGTCTCTCATGTAGTGACCCGTCTTCCCACACCGAAAACACGGACCCTTAGGAGGGCGGTGAGGTGTATGGACGGCGTTGATCGTGGCCCGATGGGTCTGGCCACGAAAGCGGTTTCCATCCCTGGAAGCTGCTCTCGCGTACTGCATCAGCGCATCTGTTGACTCCGCCAGCCGTACTGCTTCAAGGAATGATGTCGGGCGGCCCCTACGAACCTCGTACTGTATCTCGTATTTGAGGCCGCTGATATATTTATCCAACAGATCTGCTTCCGACATGTCATCCACTTGGTCGGCGAGGCCCATAAATGACGCCGTGTAGTCTTGGACAAAAGCCATCTGCGACCATGCACGCAGCTTCATGCGAGCTTGCTCCGAGGCGGATACGTGCTCGAAGCGATCTCGTAAGGCTGCGCCCCACTCCTTCCACGTGCGTATCGTGGTCACTCCGAAGATCGGTTCTGCCACTTGATTAGTCACTGTTGAGGTCCCGTCTGCCGCATGCGTCACACATGTCGGCGTCCCCGTTTCCAAGGTTCGGCGCCACCACTCAAGCGCTGCACCTCGAAGAAGCGTAACCGCGTAATTAACTCCTGCTGCAGTGAAGAAGACTTCGACCCCGAACAACCACCCTTTTACTGTAACCGTCTTGTCCGTAGGATTAAACGGGGGCGGGTTGACGGGCTTGATCTTGATCGTCGTTACTGCAACTGGCGCTGATGCCGCTCGCTGCCTATCCTCCTCTTCGAAGTCACGCATGAGCGCGTCCAAGGGATTGCTCACCGCTTGACTGTTGCCCTCGCCTTCGTCCTCGGGCGACACCTGACGCGCTTCACCTCGCGTCTGGCGCAGCTCGGTGTTTTCTTCACGCAGTGTTGTCACTTCCGCCATTAACGACTTCATGCTCTCCTGCATTTCTGCCACTTGCGCCATCATCCTGTTAACCGCCTCCTGATCCATGTGCCTAGCGCTACTTCTGGTGGGCAATCGGGTATCCGTGGCCTTCAGGCAAGTGAAAACACGAACTATCGGAGTCGGGCAGGATTGAATTAACAATCCCTGCAGCCAACCGTCGTGTAGTCACTAAACCAGCCACACCCTATGCCACCAAACTACCCTCGGAAAAGCGGGGTGAACTAGGAAAGTAGCTCTGATACCAGGTGTTATGAGTTGTAAAAGAGAGTGCGCAGGTAAACGAATAACGAGACTGTGATTAACTGATCTGAGAATACAATGAAGGCACAGACTAATGTAGGGGCTAGCCTAGCTAGGAGGGAACCTCGGACGAGCGAGGTTGGGTGCAGGTTTGGCGATTGGGAAATGCCGAAGGCCACGCGAGGAGCCTCGGCAGCGTTGAAATCGGCCGAACGTGCGAAGTCCGAAAATCGGGCTGTACGCGAAGCAGTCAACCCCGATAAGGAATTCGGGAAAATTCCTTACAGTAGTGGCCAAAGCTTAGTAGTAAAACGGCCAAACAGAGGAACTACAAATCTTGATATTTCCTAAACCCTGCTAACTTATGCTCTATGCTTTAAACTTGAACGAGTTGTGCTGTGTCGGAGAGGAATGCCCACATCCAGTTTTGCGCCTTCCGTCCTTGAGACGCACAAGTGTCAGCCTCTCCGTTTTTGCGCTGGGGGGGGGAGGGGCTGGCTGGCATCGCTTCGCTTGTCCCTCGCATGATCGCATCACATAGCCCAGGGCACGCCATGCCGACACCGTCGAGGACCTTGAATTGAAGCTCTTCAATTGAAGCCTTCGCCTCCGAGCCGGAACCGAGAAGGGAATCTCTCAGGCTCAGCCTTTCTACTGAACTACTAGACTGATGTGATGATCGCTTGAGGGGTCGCCAGCGTGGCGGCCCTTCCGTGTTAGCTCTTGCGTGGTGTCCCTTCGTTTCAGCTCTCGTCGCGTAGCGCCTCCCTCGGGGTGACGCTACGCAACGAGAGCTGCCGCGCGCGCCAGCGGTATGCACTACAGTACAGTTGTACAGCTTATCAGCTTGCAGTGCCTGTTTATCTTCTGCCTCTAAACTAAAGTCAATATTCCTCAACTGCACTACCGGTTGACGCAAAATGGTCTACGTTGGAGAGGGAATAGCTTGAGTCACGTACAGTAGTACGCGATTTTTATCCACGTGGAACGGTGTGCACCGCGGCGCTCCTTCCCCGTCCACAAGTTCGTGAGCATCTCCGAATAGGCCTCGCTAATCCAGTCTGGCAACGAACGGGCCCAAACTGCCGAAGCTGGGCTGTGATGTTTCTTGCACTCGCACCTCCCATCACATATCCAGAACCCTCTCAGGCTGGAGCGACGTACTAGCGGTGGTGATATGATATTCCCTGCGTCACGAGCAGCTAACTTTCATGTCAAATCGCCTCGTACTAACTTTCATGTCAACATGGAGGCCTTCCTCGTTCGCCGCACGACGCCTCTCGTCCTCGTCGTGCTCTGTAAGCCCTGTGACTTCTTTTTTTCGCACCGGTGGAAACGACTCATCGATCGATGAGCTGTATAAGTGCCCTGATAAGTGCCCTTTTACTGCCTTTTGCCCATACCCGTGGTAATGAAACGCGACCCATTGATTGCGTGCTTCTCTCCTACTCCGTCGCCCGTCGCACTGAGACGATTTTTGAGGCGCTTTTTTAGGCGCCTCAAAAACCAACTCCGTCGCCATTGCACTGACTGCACCGCTGCCACGTCAGAATTCAACCAGGCGGCTTTGACATGATTTTTGGCCCCTCGACATGGCTTTGTCATGTCCGGTCGCCCCTCGCGTCATGATGATCACGCTCCCTCGGTCGCCCCGCATGTTGCTCTCTCGTGCGCCCCTCACGATGCTCTCTCGTACGCCCCTCACGATGCTCTCTCGTGCGCCCCTCATGTTGCTCCCTCGTGCGCCCCTCATGTTGCTCCCTCGTGCGCCCCTCATGTTGCTCTCTCGTGCGCCCCTCCGTGTTGCTCCCTCGTGCGCTGTCCCCCGCCAGCTGCGGCGTTCCTCACTGCCGTCTCGTCTGCCCCATTTTCCCCGCCGTTCCTCGCGCGTAATGGGGTAATGCTCCCTCATAATGCTCCCCCCTGCGCCCTCCGTGTTGCTCCGTCGTGCGCTGTCCCCCGTCAGGTGCACCGTTCCTCTCAACTACTTGACACCTCGGCAGCGTTAGTTGGACTCTGAACCCGCCAGGTTTCTTCGTGTTCAATCGCCTCTCATGTTGCTCCCTCGTGCACTGTCCCTCGCCAGGTGCGGCGTTCCTCACTGCCGTCGCATCTGCCCCAATCGTCCCGCCATTCCTCCTCGCACGTTCTGCACTGCACGGCGGCGTTTCAACCACGGCGCCTGCCGCACAGGCCAAGCCCTTGGTGTGGAAAGGGAGAACAATCTGTAAGTGTCCGATTCTTGAGGCCGCTCAGCTTTTGAGTTTTCTCCTAAAGAATCTGCCGCTCAGCTTTTGAGACCTCTCAAAAGCCGCTCAGGCCAAGCCCTTGGTGTGGAAAGGGAAAACAGTCTGTAAGTGTCATGTCAGCAGCGCTCTTTGCCTCTTGTTCGAATGCCACTACACCGGCGGTACTACCACTTCCCCTACTGCTTTTGAGGCGCCCCAAGATTTTATAATTTCTTTCTGAGGCGCCTCAAAAGTGGCACACCGGCGGTACTACCACTTCTCCTACTGCTACCAGTGCTACCAGCAGCAGAAGGAAGCACTTGCACTGTAGTGCACCGAGTTGCACCGAGTTCCAGCGAGTTCCACCGAGTTGCACCGAGTTGCACCGAGTTGTGGCCACCTCCGCCTCCTCCTCCAAGGCTATGGTGTCATGCCTACATTATTGCACTTCTTGGTGTACTGCGTATGTGTTGCATCCGATCCTGTGTTGCATCTGATCTTGTGTTGCATCTGATCTTGTGTTGCATTTGTTCTCTGCATATCGCCGTACCACCCTAGCGTCCTGTACAGCTGTGAGCTACTAGGATTATAATTTTGAGGCGCCTCAAAAGCCATACGACCACCCGAGCGTCCAGTAGAATTATCAGTTACAACCGGTAGGATTTGTGCATGGCTGTCATGACATTGAGAATTCCTAAATCTGGACCCACCAGGGCGTCACATGCTCTGATTTTGCTAGTATTACCTTCCTCGCCCTTTCCCATGCGCCTCCGTCCCTGCTAATTCCGTTTCCAGATAAGTACGTGACAAAATTGCGTCCCACTAGACTCAATGGGAAGGTGGTTGGTGACAAAGGTGCATTGGGAAAATATGTCGCAAAGATAGTGAGGTGCGTCGCTCTGCAATTGTTCCACGGAAATATCTCTATCTGCTAGTGCCATTGTTCCATGCGATCCCCTGGGGACTGATTTGAGCCCCCGGCTGTGCCCGGAAGCACCCATCCCCACCCACTTTCCCCCTTCCCCCCCTCAAACCCCCGCCCCCCCCCCCCCCTCACTCCCCCACTCCCCGACTTTCCCCCTTCCACCCCCTCCTCTCCTCCTTGCACCATTTCCGTCTGTGCCTTGCTTGCAAAATGTCAGAATTATTTCAACTAGAAACAGGCATTCAGCTCAGCAACAACATTCTATTCCGAGAGCTTTGTCTTCGTCTTGCCTTTCGCCTTGCTTGCAGGTACTCAGCAACAACTTACTTTCAGCGTAATTTGTCTCCATTTCCCCCCTCCCCGCCTTGTTCCGTCCCCCTCTCCCCTCTCGCCGCCTTGTTCCGTCCCCCTCTCCCCTCCCCCCCCATTGCTTGCAGGTACTCAGCAACAACTTATTATATGAAGACCTTTTTCTCCGTCTTAAAAATCAAATCGGGAGGAAAAGAACCTATCCTAAGCGGCGCAAAGGCCTGCACTGGAGCATCCTCCCTAACCGGTCCTGCACAGTGGACCAACATCACTAGTGACAAAACTGGCCGCCTCAAGCGCTACACTTTCCTGTCCACATCGACTCTAGGACCTGGGTCTCTAGCTCAGCTACGTGCATCGATTGAGAGTGGATTCAAGTCATTTGGTTATTACACGAGGGTTGGGCACGAGAACAACGCACATGCACTCTGTGGGAAGGCCAAGAAAGTGAAGGGATATTAGTTGGCTGGCCTCCCTTCCGTCTTTTGTCTTTCTATCATCTCATTTTTTTTCTAGGTCTCAGGGCTCTTTTTGTTACAACGCATAACAAATAACAATCGCACTAGTAAAAGTAACAAACTCCTAACTTTCCTCAACCCTGGAACTGTAAACACTAGCTGCTCGAAACTTGGAGCAGGCTATAGTGCGTCAAAGAGGACAACAGGCGCCGAAGGGTCAGAGTGAGGAGGACTCAGCTCAGCCCCGCCGTTTTTGCACTGGGAGGGTTCACCGAGTGGCACGGCACAGCACAGCACCCCCTCGCCGCAGAGAAGCACCCCTTGTGCCTCGCATGCCCCAGATCACACTACAATTGATGCCCAACCAGTGCACGCGGATTTGCCTTGCGCCGGATGGAAACGCTGCACCCGAGGTTGTTTCCCCAGCCTGTTGCTCCCACGTTATAAGCGCGTCGCGTGGTTATCAACCAATAGTAACGAACAGACCGAGGTCAAGCAGAAGAGACTGAAGTCAAATAAGGTAACAGATCTTGTTTATAAGCACCTGCGAATCCTTTTTAGCTAGCTGCGAATTGACGAAACTTATGCGAAATGCTCGTTACAGCTTATACGCCCCCTTCACAAGGCAACCGGGAGGGGCTCAAACAGGCATCAATTGTACTGTCTAGTCCAGACCAGGGCCTCGAATTGAAGCCCTGGCCATCCCTCCCAGGCTTTTTATGAATAGTGCTGTACTACATACTAGGGTAGGGGCGCCACCGTGGCGCCCCGTCCACGTCAGCTCTGGCGCCCCTTCCGTTTCAGCTCTTGTCGCGTAGTAACGCTTCAAAGTGATTGTCAACGCTTCACACGGGGTAGTTGCGCTACGCGACGAGAGCTGACGTTCGAATTTTGTCCACTCGGGACGGTGCGCCACCGCCAATGCGCCGCCGCGCGCTTCCCTCCTTCCTTCCCCGCCGCGCCGCGCTCGTTCCCCGTCCGCAACGTCGTGACGTCCCCGAATCGCCTCGCTAATCGAGGCTGGGATGATGCCATCCGAAAACGAACGGGCCCAAACTGGCGAAGCTGGGCGATGATGTTACCACCAGGGCGATAACGGACACGCCTCCCATCCCATCCCACAGTCCGACTGTCAGAACCCTCTTTGGCTGATCACGAGCACCTCTCATTTTCAGATCGCCACGCTCGCCCTTCCTCTTGAGAATAACTCTCGAGACCTCCACGTTTCGCAAGCTTTTCATTTCGAGACCCTCGTATGCAATACAACCAACATGGAGCGCGCGACACCTCTCGTCTTTGTCCTGCTCTGTAAGCACTACTCTCCTGACTCTTGAGTCGACTCAAAGGTCCAAAGTCACTTTCGAGTCGACTAAGAAGTCTCTTCGTCCTGCTCTGTAAGCGTTACTCTCCTACTCTGTGTAAGCATTGCCCTTTTACTGCCTTTGCTCCTACTTGTGGAAACCACTCATCAATCGAGTGCCTTTGCACTGCCTTTGCCCCTACCCGTGGAAAGGAAACGACTCATTGATTGAGTGCTTTTGCTCGCCTACTCCCCCGGCGTGGCACTGAGTGTGCAGCTGCCTCGTCAGAAATCAACCACGGCTGGCACGGCTTTGCCATGAGTTCTGCCAGGAATCAACCTAGGTTTCGTCGTGTCTTGAGGCGCCTCAAAAGTCGGCTTTGCCATGAGTTCTGCCAGGAATCAACCTAGGTTTCGTCGTGTCTTGAGGCGCCTCAAAAGGCGGCTTTGCCATGAGTTCTGGCAGGAATCAACCTAGGTTTCGTCGTGTCTTGAGGCGCCTCAAAAGTTGGTTTTGCCATGAGTTCTGGCAGGAATCAACCTAGGTTTCGTCGTGTCTTGAGGCGCCTCAAAAGTCGGCTTTGCCATGAGTTCTGCCAGGAATCAACCTAGGTTTCGTAACAAACACTGCAGGCTAGACAAACATTACATTCTGACAAGGGGGAGCAACACAACAAGCCAGATTTCCTAAATCACAGTTGCTTACGAGACATCATCACAAACATCATGCCTCGCAGACAGTGACGACCGTGGATCTCGCTCTGCAATTGATCCCAATTGTCCATCTCATCTAGAGATCATATGACCTCGTATAAGATGATTGACAAGGAGTGGGAATCCTCAGCGTGGTCGTAGGCCTGATGCTTGAGCACCTCTAGGGCCATGAAATGGTGTGGGGGAGGCATGATGGAGGAGTGAGGAGGGAAGGAGAGAGGGAGAACGGCATACGAGCACTAAAAAACAAGCGAACCTAGTGTTTGAACACCCTTGGGGCCATGTAGCGGCCGGTGGGAGGTGCAATGGAGCAGTGGGGAGGGGGGAGGGAGGAAGGAGAGAGAAGAGCATACGATGAGTGCTCAGTGCGGTCATACGCCTGGTGCTTGAACACCACTGGCGCCATGTATCAGGCTATGGGAGGTGGAGAGAGGTGGAGGGAGGTGGAGAGAGCAATGAGTGAATCAAGAAAACTCCTTCCCATCTTTCGTCACCTTGACCAATTTATTTACAATAACTGGCAGTCTCCTCCATCATGTTGTACATCTTCTCCATTCTTGTTTACGTTGACGACTTGGTCTTTTTTGCTGCAGACAGGGTTGCTCTGGCTTTAGTGAAGGCTGAACTGCACAAGAGATAGACCTGCACTGACCTTGGCTAGCTGCGCAACTATCTTAGCTTGCGGATTACCAAGGACAGAACAGCGCCCACCATCACTCTGACTCAGTCACACATGGTGCAGGAGGTCCTTCAGCGGTTCGGCTTTCAGCTCTCCTCCACACAGCCTACTCCTCTTGCTGTTGACCATAGGCTCACTGCTCCTGTTCCCGACGAGCCGGCTGAGCCTAATGGTCCGTACGTAGAGCTTGTGGGGTGCTTCATGTACCTAATGACGTGCACTCGGCCAGACCTTGCCTATCCTCTTATCATCCTTGCCCGCTTTGTTGTGTCGTCTCGTTCACTGGACGGCTGCTAAGAAGGTAGCAAACTGTTGGCGAGCACATCAGGCATGGGGCTTGTGCTTGTAGGACTACATCCAGTGCGAATTACCGGGCACACTGCCGCGTTGTGGGTGGATGACGACGATACTTGCAGGTCTTCTCAGAGCTAATGTTTCAGCCTGGGCTCTGGAGCTATCTCGTGGAGCTATACTCGCTCATCATCTGAGGCTTCGTCTAGTGCTGAGGCTGAGATCTACGCTGGTGCCATGGCTGCCCAGGAGCTTAGCTGACTAGTTTTCTTGCTCGTCCACTTAGGTGAGGGAAGCTCCTGCGCAACCATGGCGCGCCTCAAATATAACCCTCCTTTTGACTGAGTGGGTGGCGAGGAGTTATATTATCAGGGTCTAGGGTTTTATTCCCGGCTGGGTCACGTGTCGTCATGTTGTAGAGTTTGTTTGTATGTGTAGTTAATTTACATTTTGTGGCACAAAAAACTCACTGACTAGGTGTCTTCGCTTGATGGACACCCATGTCCACAATACACTGCGCGGGAGACAACCCCGCCAGAACAGTGCCCCGATTTGCGCGACGCGAAGCGACACTATAAGAGACTTAACCTTAGTCTCAAGGTTTTTAAGAACACTCAAGACAAAATTTTCCCGCACTATAGGAATAAAAAAATGACAGTCAATTCTCATCGCAAAGCCCAATGTTCGGGTTGCGATAATGCAATGTGCGTGCGAAGTCGTGTCCCGATTTTCGCTAGAACCACCGGATCGCGCTCTGGAACTTTTGTGCGCACTGACGCACGTGGTTATTTTGTGCCCAAGCAGGTCGACGCACTACCCATTCATCTCAAATTTCATGTTCCCAGTCAGATCACGTCCAAAAGGCAACAAAACTGAGGTTACAATTGGTATCTGCATATGAGTGATAATTGTACAACCTGATCGTGAAGTTGAATATGGTAACCTAGTCGCGAACTCAGTGAACGATCCGTCGCTGACCTAAGGGCGTGTGTGATCTATTTTCAAGTTCGGAAAAAATGTCGAACTTTGAGTGGTTACCAGCTTCGCCAATGTCGTCAAGAAGCTTTGGCGAAAGCATGAGAATTTTGGGGGCACATAAGTGCGAATGTCAAATGTGAACTCAACTCGAATCACACGGGTGAACGTGCAGGTGCACGTGAGGCGAGTGTGTGTTGTTTCCAGCACATACGAAGGCCACCCGAAAGTCACGACTGATTTGCGAAGGTCGCGGAGTTTCGTTGCGCATTACGTTGACGTATCGCGTTGTACCAGGTAACCTACACCCCCTACGGGCGGCTCGCCGCCTTCCCTAAAAGGGAAAATATGTCAATGGTAACTTACATGGGGCATTATAACGCATACGGTAACGATTTCAACGCGTTTGGTAACTCGCTTAACGCGTTTGGTAACTCGCTTAACATGTTTGGTAACTCGCTTAATGCGTATGGTAACTATACACTAGCAGCCCATCACGCGAATGGTAACTAGAAGAAACCCTCGCCCAAAATGACCCTGATTCTGGTTTTTCCCGCTCGCGTCAGACTAAATTGACGAATCTTGAAGCAGAAACCTCTGACACACTCTCCGAAATTCTGACACATTTTTCCGAAATTCGGACACACTTTCCTAAATCCTGACACACTTTCCGATTTTCAAGCTAATTGAAAAAACGTATGTGTTGTGAAAACAACTGTTCTTACATAACTGATATTCTGGCGCTCTTTCCGCAAACTGTTTGTACTTCATTCTATCGTGCAGCCGGGGCAAACAAATCTATACCCCTTTCAGATGGCAAATGAATTTGAGAGGCGACCCTAAACTCCTTGCGAGAAGGCGTTTATGGTTCTTTAAAAAAATAATGAAATATGTAATTCTAAAGAGGTGTATTTTTCCCACATGAAAAAAATCTTCAACATTGCAGTAATTACTAAAAAAAAAGTAAAAGCCCCGAGGTCCTTTCGGGGAATGTTTTTTTAATCATTTTGCAAGTTCGCAATCATGCTATCAAAAATATGATTTTAACCGTTTTTGTACGTGTCAGAGGTCCATTGGTGATCCCCGATTGATCCTAGGGAAGGGTTACAGGCATGTTGGCCTGGGGGGTTATGGGCGCACTGACCCGCTACTTAACAAGCCCTTTTATCCCAATGGTCTAGTGGTTGGGATTCTGACATGGTATCAGAGCGAAGGTCTCGGGTTCGAATCCCAGTGTGTGCACTTCGGGCATCCCAGTGCGGGGGGGTGTCAGAGGTCCATTGGTGATCCCCGATTGATCCTAGGGAAGGGTTACAGGCATGTTGGCCTGGGGGGTTATGGGCGCACTGACCCGCTACTTAACAAGCCCTTTTATCCCAATGGTCTAGTGGTTGGGATTCTGACAGTACGAGCTACTTATATATTTAAAACGGCTCTGAAACTTTTTGGTCCGTGGTAATAGAACAAGCGGGGTCCTTCAAAGTCGCGGCGGGACTTGTTCAAGAAAGATAAAACTGTGCGTAAAAACGTTCAAACTCGATAAATTCCTCGTTGTCAGGATCATTTCGGCGGGAGTTTCATGTAGTTACCATTCACATGATGGGCTGCTAGTGTATAGTTACCATACGCGTTAAGCGAGTTACCAAACGTGTTAAGCGAGTTACCAAACACGTTAAGCGAGTTACCAAACGCGTTGAAATCGTTACCGTACGCGTTATAGTGCCCCATGTAAGTTACCATTGACATATTTTCCCTCCCTAAAAAGGTCGAATCTATGTGTTCGACCTTGGGTGTGTGATTGTGACTCGTCTGTGTTGGAGACCCAAGATTCGAACTTCTCTGCAAGGAAAGTCGAGTTTTGTTCAAATGCTACATTCGACCTAAAAACATAAACTTTCACAAATTTGTAAGACCACACGCGCCCTAACACAATCACACCAGCAAAGTCGCATGCTTGCTATCGCGTCTTGATTCACCTGTCTTGGGAGGATCGTGATGGGGTAGCACCGTAGCAGCGACAGCACAATTTGCTCTGAACACAAATACAATTGATGCCCAACCAGTGCACGCGGATTTGCCTTGCGCCGGATGGAAACGCTGCACCCGAGGTTGTTTCCCCAGCCTGTTGCTCCCACGTTATAAGCGCGTCGCGTGGTTATCAACCAATAGTAACGAACAGACCGAGGTCAAGCAGAAGAGACTGAAGTCAAATAAGGTAACAGATCTTGTTTATAAGCACCTGCGATTCCTTTTTAGCTAGCTGCGAATTGACGAAACTTATGCGAAATGCTCGTTACAGCTTATACGCCCCCTTCACAAGGCAACCGGGAGGGGCTCAAACAGGCATCAATTGTACACACGATGCCCGTTTGACTAACCCGAGGTTGCCTTGTGAAGGGGGCTTTTAAGTGATTCTGGGCATTTCACAAATTTCGTCAACGTCGCACCTAGCAAAAAAGGGCTTATAAAACATTTGTAACTCTCCATTGACATTTTGACTTCGGTCTCTTCTGTTTGACTTCGGTTTCTGTGGTTCTTATTGGTTCATAACCACTGCAACTTGCTCGAGGAGCTTGTAATGTGGGTGCAACGGGTTGGTAAAAATAACACGGGTGCAGACTTTACATCCGGGGCAGGACAAATTCGCGCGCAGGGGTTGAGCATCGTGTGTATATGTTTCGTTGCTTCCTTGTCTGTCGATTCCTTTCCATCCCAAAATGCATCCGTTCTGCAGCCATTTCGATGCCGTTTGGTTCAGACAGGTTTTCCTGGGAAGGGGTCTAGGGGAGCAAGAAAACCTGGATTTTGCAGCATAGCTGCACATTCTGGAAAGCAGGGACAGCGCGAGACTGAGGTCCTTGTGAGGCTCCCTGCCCTGCCCAACGAGTCGTGCTCCAGGGGAGACGAGTGTAATAAACCATCGTTTTTGACCCAGTGCGTAGCGAGGTGTTATACACCAGACTGATGAATACAGCAGTACAGTACTTCGCGCCGCCAGCGTGCGCCCCTTCCGCTGCAGCTCTTCTCGCGTAGTAACGTTTTCCACGTTGTTTAGCGCTACGCGAAATCACTCTTGAGAACTCATAAGTTATTGTCAACGCTTTCCACGGCTACGCCGCGAAATCACTTATGAGAATTGTCAAAGTGATTGTCAACGCACGTACCGCTACGCTACGCGACGCGACGAGAGCAGTTGACGTCGTCGAATTTTATTCATTCGGGACGTTGTGCCACCGCCGATGCGCCGCGCGCCTCATCGGCGGTGCGCCTCACTGCCGCGCGCGCCTCATCCCATAGTCAGAACCCTCGATCCCCCTCTCAGGCTGATGAGTTTTTCAGGCTGGAGGGAGACGGAGCAGTTTGTACACGTATTCGCGTGCATCACGAGCACCAGGTTTACATTTTAGATCGGCAGATTTTCATTTCGCGACCTCGTATACATGATGGAGCGCCCGACGCCTCTCGTCTTCGCCCTGCTCTGTAAGCATTACTCTCCTGTCTTGTAAGCACTCGCATGTCAGGTCGCCCCTCGTGTTGCCCCCTCGTGTTCCCCGCGTGTTGCCCCCTCGTGTTCCGCTCATGTTGCCCCCTCGTGTTCCGCTCATGTTGCCCCCTCGTGCGCCCCTCATGTTGCCCCCTCGTGCGCTGCTCTCTCCGTCAGGTGCGGCGTTTTTCACTGCCGTCTCGTCTGCCCCAATTTCCCCGCCATTCCTGGCGCGCGGCAACGTTTCAACCCCGGCGTCTGCTGCTCAGCCAAGCCGTTGGCG